GCTCCTTGTCCCTGCTGGGCGTCACGATGTAGGTGTGCGTCTGCTGCTGAATCCTCTTGATCGTGGCTCCTTTGGGGCCCACCACGAGCCCCACCACGCGGTAAGGCACCCTCACTTGGACCGTTGTCTGCCCCGGCAGGTTGGGAGTGCAGGGCAGCCCTCCCAGGGAAGGGCTGTTCTTGTTGCGCGATGCTCTGATCATGGAGAAGTGCTCAGCAGCGGAGAGAATTTCCCTTTTGGCCATGGCTACATCCTCTTTTCGTCCAGTGATGACAAAGACGGGCTCTTCTCCACGCACGGGGGTCTTAATGTACGTGTTTGTCTTGGCCCTCAGTGCTTTTATTTTGCAACCTGTTTAAAGGAAACACATGCAAGTTTAGCAACAAGTCTAAGTTTAGAAAGCCACAAGAAAGCAATCTATTTTAAGCTGAGAGTTTCAAGAAACTGTAGGGTGAAACCAGAGGCAGCTATTTTCATTTCTGCAAGCCACACTAGCGAAAGCGGTAAACAACGTGGAATTACTCTTTCCAAACAAATTTCTAGCATTTAAAGCCACAAACTGCTCCAGCAACATTTACTGGGCCATTTCTGTTCATCATCTCCATCATTTCTATGAGACAGTGAATTAACGGGTGTTGCTTTTCCTCCTAGACATCAAATACATTCATCATTATCTGAGCAATAGCAGTAGATTTATATTTTTTCTCATTATTTCTAAGATTAACGATTTTCATTCTAAACTCTTCGAAAAGGAGTAAACACAAATACATACACATATCCTTAAACCTGACACCCCAACCCATTTACTGAAAAGGGTTCAGTAAAAAATAAACCAAATATTCACAAGGGAGAGCAGGGCCTGTATTACAACTACAGAGGATAGAGATGAGAGCTATTTACTGAGAATTCTGTGTTTGCTTCCTCTTCCCCATAAGGGTTTTTGCAACCTTATACTTCCCTGTGAGATGAAATAGCCACTCGTTGAACTGACAAGTCAGAGCTGGAGCAGTTTTTGTTGGGTGCAGCAAGCTCTCTGTGTCATACAATGTGCCTACTAGGAATATTTTTGTTAGTTATATAAATACAGCCTGAAAGATGAGCAAACAGCCAATGAAACTTTTGTCTTTGGTTTTGGGAGCCAAATTGCACAGTTTGCTAGGACACCGTAACAGCAGGCTCTTCCCTATGATGCTCACAGTGTCTTGCCATGGCATACATGTAAGCACCTTTACTCATTTTAGGGCTGAAAAAATGGGTAGCACCAAATTAAAAATCCCATTCATGACATGCAGGACTGTCCCCTGGATTCAATTCTAATTCAGTTTAGCCTATATTCAACAGAATTGGAAAGCAAGTCTCACCAACTACTATTCCAAAGAGCACCCCATCTCAAAACGACTGCAATGCCTTCCTGGCTTCAGTCTTTAGTGCTAAGGCTAGTCCCCATGAGCTACGGAGTCCCAAGACAAGAGAGAAAGTCTGGAAAGATGAGGACTTTCCCCTGGTTCAGGAGGACTAGGCTAGGGATTATTTAGGCAAACCGGACACCCACAAATCTATGGACCCGGATGGGCTGCACCCAAGAGTGCTGAGGGAACTGGCAGGGGTTATTGCTCAACCGCTCTCCATCATGGAAGTTGTGTTTGACCAATCTGATAGCCTTCTTATGATGGGATGACTGGCTGGATGGATGACAGCAGAGCCATGGATGTTGTCTACCTTGATTTCAGCAAGGCTTTCAACACCATTGCCCATAACATTTTCATAGGAAAGCTCTGGAAGCGTGGACTGGATGAGTGGACTGTGAAGTGGACCGAGGACTGGCTGAATGGCAGAGCCCAGAGGGTGGTGATAAATGGGGCTGAGTCTGGCTGGAGGCCTGTGACCAGTGGTGTCCCCCAGGGGTCAGTACTGGGCCCGGTGCTCTTCAACTTGTTCATCAATGACTTGGATGAGGGCACAGAGTGCACCCTCAGCAAGTCTGCAGATGACACCAAACTGGGAGGAGTGGCCAACACTCCTGAGGGCTGTGCTGCCATTCAGAGAGACCTGGACAGCTTGGAGAGTTGGGCAGAGAGGAACCTCATGAGGTTCAACAAGGACAAGTGCAGGGTCCTGCACCTGGGGAGGAA